ACATAAAACAATCAGTAAATAAAAACAAAAAATTGTAGAGCTGTTAACTTTGTACTAGTATTAGTACTCTCAGCCAAGTTTTTACGGACCTATTAAGGTACACACATATAACTTCAAGTTTAATAAACATAAATCTACATGTAGACACTCTAACAAATGTAGTAAGGCAAAAATGCTCACAAGGCAAAACTAAACATTTACAAGGTGCATGCCACATTTTGTTAATAAATAGGCATCCATTAAATGTTTTTTTTCTATGCTGATAATTCGCCCAATACAGGTATATACATGTAGAATAGGTAGTAAAGACAGCATAGACAAATTACATCAAATACAATTACACTGTATAATACCCACAAGAAATGGCAAATTTTTTCAATAGATAATGTATGAAACAGTTATAACAAGCGTAACAGTGTAAAAAATATTCCTATAATTGATTTCACCACCTTGCAAGAATAACTAAATTTTATTAAGACTTATAGGGGTTCTCTCTACCTTCTAATGCTTCTAGAGAAGTCTTTAGACAGTATCTCTATGTTGTCTTGCTGTTAGAATTTGTCTCAAGTTTAAGCCGCCATTTTGTTTGCCGTGACCACACCCACTACGTAAAGGAGCGTGGGTGGATGGTTGCTAAGGCTTATGAATTTTGTTATTTCTCCAATACAACATGTATAGAAGAAATGTAAGTGTGGACATACAAATATATATATATACAAACATCGCACGTGGGTGAAATCAATTATAGGAACGACCTGGGGGCTACGCTCCCAGGTCGTTAAAAAGTTTTTCTGGTAAGGTTTTGTTTTAATTACCTGATGCACTTCTCTTTTGTACTGCACTATTTTTCTGACCCTCTCTTGGTGTATGAGTAACAAATATTAACAATAATCATAATAATAATAATAATAATAATAATAATAATAATAATAATAATAACAACAAAATCTAATTACCTAGTGCACTTCTCTTCTGTACTATACTATCTTTCTGACCCTCTCCTTGTGTACGAGTAACTAACAATAATTATATTAATAATAGTAATAACGATTACAACAACAACAATTTAATTACCTGGTGAACTTCAGTCTTTTGTACTGTAATAACTTTCTGACCCACTACTTGTGTATGAGTAACTAATAACAATAATAATAATAATAATAATAATAATGATAATAAAATAATTTAATTACCTGGTGCACTTCTCTATCGTACTGTACAATCTTTATGACTCTCTCTTTGTCTACGAATAACTAATAATGACAATAATAATAATAACAAAAACAACAACAATTGAATTACTAGGTGCACTTCTCTTTTGTACTGCACTACTGTATCTTTCTGATCCTCTGTTTGTGAATGAGTAACCAATAACAATAATAATAATAATAATATAAACAAAAACAACAATTTAATTACCTGGTGCACTTATCTTTTGTACTTTACTATCTTTCTGACCCTCTCCTTCTGTACAAGTAACTATTAAAGGGTAACTCAACCCAAAAACTTTTTTGCAGAAATAAGTTGGTAATAAAGAAAAAATCATAGGAAAAATAAGTAAAATTATCAAAAAGTATTGTTTCCATACTAAATCTTGGGTCAAAAGTTGCAATTTCTTGCCTTGCAGCCATTTTATCAAAATCACTTCCGGTTGTGGGCGTGGTCACGAGATGACATACATGGGGGAAGATTAGCAAATTTCTGCATTGAAATA